GAGGGAGAGGGAACTGGGATCGACATGTAAAATAATAATAAAAAAAAAAAAAAAAAAAAAAAAAAAACGCTTTGACTCCAAAATTTAAGTTGAAGAACAAGTTACTGGGGAAAAGTATTTCTATTTTTGTTTCCACAGAAAATGAAAAGATGTGGATTCCTTCCAGACTAATGTGGTTTGATCACACCAGACCGCCTGAAACAGAGTACAAGCTGATCCTACATTCCAAACAGCTGGACAAAACAGCCCTACAGACTACAGCTAGGATATCTGAATCTTCTTCGAATCCCCCAAGACAGCGCCCCTTACCAGCAGGAAGTAGTTTGGAAAGAACGACGCCCAAATTCCCAAATATTGTGTATAAATGTTTGTTTTCATTTAATTGGACTTTGTTATATAAAATTAAATAAAAAATACTCTATATGCAAAAAAAAAAAAAAAGTTCCTCTTCTTTTTTATTATTCCTTCTGTTGCTTGTTCTACTCTATTCTAGGTCTTTTAAATTTATCTGCTTCTATGTTCTGCTATGTGGCTCTGTTCTCTTTACTGTGTACTATATGTCTGAACTCTTCAAAGTCTCCTTGAGTCTCTGCCTCTCTCCCTCCCAGAGTCCTATTTCCACGGAAGTCCCACCTAGCCTTTCCTGCCTAGCTGTTGGCCACTCAGCTCTTCATTAAACCAATCAGAAGGAGCCTTGGCAAAGACACATCTTCATAGTGTACAAAAAGATTATTCCACATTTTCCTCTTTTTTGTATAAATAAAAAGGAAAGGAGAGGTTTTAATTCTAGCACAGTAAAACTATGTGTAGTAAGAACAAATAACAGGCAAGAATTATTCATAATGTCCAGTCCATTTGTATTTGGCATATTCAGAAAAATACTCTATTATCTATCCTATCTTGATGAATCCAAAGTTTATACCATACCAAAGTTTTTATCATAACTTGTATTACCAACCTAAAAATATCATTCTAGACCTTAAAACTTGTTTGTCATTTTTTAGATAAACAGCTTGAATATTTCGTCTCTCACCTTCTACACTTTACATCTCTTTTGTGAGTCTCTTTTTTTTTTGAATTTGGTAAAAAATGGTATAACTATTTAGTTTTCAACCCCCATCAGAGACCCAAGAAAGCTATAATATGACTTGGGTAAACAGGAAGTACAGAGCAAATAACTCCCAATATTATACAAATGACAAAGACAACTGGATGCCTAGATAGTCACCCAAATTTTCTCTGAAATGTTGGGGCATCCATATTCAGGATATAGGCCTACAATGTATGATAGACTTTTCTGTGAAGTAGGAATTTTGAAGAAATGTCCCATCTTGTCTTGGCAAAGTTTGGTAGTTTCCTTCTTTTGTGTCCTGCTTGCCCAATTTGGACAACATACTGTCAGTAGTCTAGGCAAGGGCAATTTCTTGCCCAGCAGCTAACTTTGTCATAATAAAAGATAACTTCATAATGAGGTTCTTTGATTCCAAACATCATGTTTTTTGAAGTATATTGGTGCTTCCAGGAGCAAATGTATCTCACTGTTATGAAAAAAAAGCCTTATGTTTCTAAGATATCTAAAGTGCCATATGCAGTAAGTCTCTGAAATACCATCTATCTATCTAAAATATATCTGTTTGACCTTGAAAACATACCTAGCATGGCTACAAATTTGATTATTAGATGACTAACTACTAATCTGTGTTTCCAAAGTATCCTAAATAGTTTGTAATAATAGTGTCCAAAGACTAGAAATTTACATTACATTGTTAAATGAGGTGCATAGGTACAATACCTTAAACAAGTATAGAAACATATATACAGTATAATAAAAATATCCTTAAATTGTAACAATACAAAAAAATCCATACCAATGTAATATTTGAGATTAATAACTGTTTTCTAGTGTAAATGTAGATTCAATAATCTACCCTTCTATCCTATCATTTATATACCCCCTTTTTATCTTTTTAGAAAAAGATCCCCACATCTAAACTCCTTTGTTTAGTTTTCTTCCTGACCGTGACCAATAACAAATTCCAACAAGTCCCCATAAACAATGACAAACATCCAATGAATGACCAGAAATCACACATCCCACCTCTTAGGAATGTGGTCACCATGTTTTCTAGACTGCTTCCTGTTATCTTGGGGTGATGGAATGTCTAGGGGACGTTGGGAAAATTGGGATGATGGTCAATTCTTGGGAGAGCTAGCTGTACCATTGTTTTGTTTAGTCTCTGTGGGATGGGAGAGGGCAGAACTTATCTGAAGTCCTGACCAAGAAGTCTGTGAGGCTGGACCATCTCAGCTAGCAGCTTTGAAGTTCTTCTGGACACAAAGTTTCGAGGAAACTGCAACAGAGACATTCAGAGAGGCTGAATCACCTGGGATTGTTGTCTTGTATCTGCATTAACACAAGTATGGATTTCAAATACCTATAAATGTAAGGAAAGTAGTAAAGGTCCACAGGGTGAAATTTCAAGAGAAAGGAAACGGGATGCAGTGATGTAAAGGGTTAAAAGGAAATAATGGTACAGGATGCGTTAAGTTAGGAGTTGGATAGGAGGGTAGACTAGAAAAGAGAATACTGGGAGAGGCAACTAACAATAAAGACATTTTGAAAAAATGTAGAAGCTTCATACATAATATGTATATGTATGTATGTATATATGTATATATAGATTACACACATGAAAAATTAAAATGGAGTTACCTGTGATGGTGAAACAATACCCTTATTAGATAACACAAGCTAACAACTAAAAATCCTAGTGCCAAGAATGGGTTACTCCTTTGGGAGTTGTTGTCCAGTGAGGGTCTGTCTTAATTAGGGTTTCTGTTGCTATGAAGAGACACCCTGACCATGGCAATTTTTATAAAGGAAAACATTTAATTGGGTGGTTTACAGTTTTTAGAGGTTCAGTCCATTATCAACATGGTGTGACTCAGTGGTGTGCAGGCAGACACGGTGCTGAAGTAGGAGCAGAGAGTCCTCACATCTTGAACAGAAAGCAACAGGAAGTGGTCTGAGACACTAAGTGGTATCTTGAACATAGAAGACTTCAAAGCCCACCCACACAGTGACACACTTTATCCAACAAGGCCATACCTACTCCAACAGTGCCATACCTCCTAATAGTGCCACTCTTTTGGGGGCTATTTTGTTTTCAAACCACCACAGGTCCCATAGATCTCAAATATTATAGGGTATTGTTCTTGGTTATTCTCCAGAACTCTATCTTAAGACCCTACAGTTGAAGACACCCTATATTCTTAAGTCATAAAGCATAGAGAAATTAAACTGCCTCTCACCTGGAAGCCTCCTTTTTCTTGGCTAGCTCTCATAGTACTGTGCCTGCTACTAGGGAAGAAAACTAATCATCATTCTTACCCAGTTGTGAACCCTATGAGCTAAAATAATGACCAACTGGCAAGATATACTCATTGGTGCAATAGCAGCATGAATGTCATAGGAGTAACCAACCCAGTTCCACTCCACGCTCCACTAATTGAAATTGTAGCAGGCACCCAGACCTTAGCACAACTGACATCTGATGAAAGTACCATTCTGGCCATAAAACTCAGCATATAGACACCATGATCTGCCAAAAGAGAGGCTCTCAACCTTTCTAATGCTGTGATTCTTTAATATCATTCCTTATGTTGTGGGGACCCCCAACCATAAAATTATTTTGGTGCTACTTCATAACTGTCATTTTGCTACTTTTATGAATCATAATGTAAATATATAATATCTGATATATGACCCCTGTGGGGGTTACATTGCACAGGTTGAGGACCACTGTACCCAAAATGAAAACAAAGAGATATCCATCAAAGTCCACAGATCTTGGAAAGTCTCTAAAGGTACTAAGCTTGCTGTTTGGCTTCTGTAGTCTTGCTTCATGTAACAGCTCTGGCTGTCTTGGAACTCACTTTGTAGACCAGTTGGCCTTGGACTCATGGAGATCCACCTGCCTCCTGAGTACTGGGATTAATAGAGTGTGCCATAATGCCTGCTTCAGCTAACTCTTCTTATTGAGGTGTATTAAGCCAGGATGTGGTTTTGTGCTTAAAAGTTTACCCCCACGAAAGGCTTAGGACTACACTAGGATTCTGAATAACAAGTGTAGCCACTGTCCAGCTAATAAAAACTTTCTATTGGTTTAAATCTTCTCTGATGGATGCCCCCAAACAGAAATATGTGCTTAACGCTGTTATTGAGGTCAAGAACCTGTGGCTATGCCAGGCAGTGGTAGTGCACACCTTTAGTCACAGCACTTGGGAGGCAGAGGCAGGCAGATCTCTGTAAGTTTGAAGCCAGCCTGGTCTACAGAGTTCCAGGACAGGCTCCAAAGCTACAGAGAAACCCTGTCTCAACCCCCACCCAAAAAACCCCAACAACCAACCAACCAAACAAACAAACAAAAAAAAAAAAAAAAAAAAAAAAAACTGAGGCTAGAGAGATCCTTGTACCTAGGGTACAACCTGCTACTATGACTTTGTTAAATGGACATGGTACTAAACCAACACTGAATGACTTACTATTGTATTCACAGATCAGTGCATTTCTCAACCTTCTTTGGAGAAGCTTACTTTAAACAGATGGTGATTAGTGCAGAGCAGTCAGTGAAAGCCCAAGAAGAGTATGGGTATCCAGTACAGCAGGGTCAGTCATGCTGCTTAACAGCCAGAGGGATGAAAACCGGTGGGAGACATGCTGTAATCTGGACACAGGGAGTCCAGTATTGCTGCTGCAGCTGCAAATAACATCGTCTGGAAGGCACTCCCCGACTTCTGTGAGTCAAATTAGCCACCCATCCCTAGGCTGAAATGTCTTGGTCACTTCATCACCCCTCCCTTCTCATTTCCTGAGTCTTGTAAAGCTGACTGAACCCACAGAGCAATCTCATCTTGTTTGGAAATACTTGAAGGGACGTTTCACTTCTGCTCTTTCCACTTCCCTTTCCAGAGCTACAGCTTGGCCTGGGACTGGGACTCAGGTGGCCAGGGCAGATAAAGAAACTTAGCCCTCCATGGATCTGCCTTACTACCATGGCCAGCTGACCAAGCAAGAGTGTGAAACCCTGCTCCTCAAGGCAGGGGTGGATGGCAACTATCTGATAAGAGACAGCGAGTCTATGCCAGGAGTCCTGTGCCTCTGCGTCTCGTGAGTAGCCTTATCTTCATGAGTTGAATCCTAATGGCAGCCATTTACTCAGGGAGTTGTATCTCATTCTTCTTTGCAATGCTAAATAAAGAGCTAGACATGTCCAGGAGAGGCTAGAAGGCTGTGTCTGCCCAGCTCTCCTGCCTGTCTTTCCCTCCACTTGTGGATGTCACATGAGCAGACTCTGAGACAGCAGAAGTGGGGATGGAAAATGGGAGAGTTATGGGGAGAAGGAAGAACTGTAAGAATGCAGTCTCCTCTCCATGTCTCTATTTGACGTGGAGAAAGCTAAGGGCCCTTCATAATAAATATTTCTGCCTGAAAGGCTCTTTGGCTGCATTCACAAGAAATATTTGAAGTGCTAATATGTCATGCCTTGTCAGGTTGGTTAAAGACTTTACAAGCAGCATTTCTTTGTTTCTTTTTATCCTTTTGGTGGCCTTTGGAGGCAAGTAGATGCTATCTGTCATTTTTATAGATGAAGGAATAAAGAAACACCGAATCCTTTATCGTGTCTCTTCCAGAAGACATCGAGGAAGCCTTTATTGAGAGTTCTCTTGACAAGCGTAGTGACGGATGTAGTGGGGAGAGACAGTGGGCTTAACTCTGAATCCAGTGTGAACAAGTCAGAATACATACAAGGAGCAGGGTGGAGGCAGTGCATGGAAAAGTACTCAGAGGCAACTTCAGAGAGAAGGGAAATGCTAGCTAACCAGACCCCGGGATTTTAGCTGAGTAAAGGCCACAGTGATGAGATGTCATCTGGGGGCTGGTGGCAGATAGAAGATGCTGATGAGATACTGAGGGTGCTCAGATAGTATAGGAGCAGGAGGCTTTGAGAAAGCTGACTTTTTAAAGGAAATGTGCAGATGGGCCTAAGAGATTTAGGAGCTTGAATGAAGTCCAGGCAAACAAAGAAATGTTGTCACTTAGTAGGGGAGCTGTTGTGTTTCTTAGAGCTTTGGAGAAAGTTAAGAAGGCGAAAGTGATAGTCATTACTAATTGTTACACAGGGACCTTTGCTTCTTTAAATAATGCCTAGAGAAATGGATGTGAGAAAGCCAGCATCTTAGCATCCATCTTAGCTTATCAAACTGAAAGTGATACTCAGGTTTTTGTGTGTGTCCATCTGTGGTTTCACATGTCAGAGGCATTGTCCCCACATAGTGATGGTACGAGATGGAACAAGGGGAAACCATAGGTATTACCCTTGAAAGGATCTTGGCGGATGCTGAGCTAGTTCTTCCTAAATGGGCAGTTATAAAAATAATAAGACGGGCCCTCCCCACCCATCTCCTGGTTTCCTGTGATCTCTCCCTCTGATGGTGTCATCTGCTGTTATGCAATACAGCCAAGTGGACCTTCACCAGAACTGGGGCTGCACTGAGCAGATGAGTGGCAAGTGCTGGGATTTGGAACTTCAAACTGTTAAGGAAAAAGTGCTAACCCTAATGTGGAGAATAAGATCGCTATCACAACTGGAGCCAAATTTAAAGCAAGCTTGATTTTTTTTTTTTTAATTGGGAGGCACTCGAGAGCTGGCTAACAACTGCTTCCTAAGTCAGGTTAAAGAGAGCCACCCTGAATCCATTTCTTGGGCTCCTTTTAAAGAGTAAAATTGTGAATAGTTTTACAGAAGAGAGACAATAAGTAAATACAAAAATAAATAAATAAATAAATAAATAAAAATCTCTGTCATGTGGTCACCATGATTAGGGAAGGTTCAAGGAGGTTCACAGAGGGTCACGGAGGGTGAGGGGTATTCTCAAAAACAACTCAGAGTCAAGGGTTGGGGAAGGTCAGGTACCAGAGAGCAACTCTGCTCTTACAGTAAATAGAAGCTTGTTCTTTTTTAACAATATAGCATAAATGACTCCTGCCTTCAAAATGGAGAATAAAACTAATGCTACCATGGTACCTCTGGATGGGAGATGCTAAGAACTGCTTATGGTGGAGTACATAGCAATAGAAAAAGATGCAAAGGACCTCCTTGAGTCTGGACAGATCTTGGCCAGGGCCCCAGGGTACACGGTCTACTTGTGATTCTCTTTAAATTTGATACTTATTCTCAGATTTCCTGAGGTGTGTCATCAGTCATCTATTCATCTAAAGCAAAAGTCACTCCCTCAGACTTGTTTTAAAAAAAAGTCAAATGAGAAAGGAATAAATGAATATTTGCTGAGCACCTTCAGGGGATAAAGCTTCACCCTCCTCTCTGCTCACATCATGGAAAGACATGTCATATCCTCACTCACATCATGGAAGAGCAGATGAAATGTCATGTGTGCTCAGACATAAGGTGTAGATCAAATGACCCTAGTGATCTCATCACAGAGTTGGTAGAAACTTATTGTCACCATTATTTCAGGTTTCTCATAGGCCAAGCACTATGCTAGGTCCTCAGCTGATGCCTTCAACACAGGCCAGAGCATAGATGGGGAAATTAAGAAACCAGTGGACCCTGTGGTGCATGCAATTGCTGCAATGATTAGAGCATCATTGTACGCTGTGGGAGCCAACAGCAAAGCATGACAATCCATCAAGGACCAGAAAGCCTTACGTTAGTGCTGAGACTTGGAGGATGAACAGAACCTTCTTTTATCCATTCAGCAAGCATATACTGATGGTCTTTAGGTTCCAGGCATGGTCCTAAAGCACTGGAACATGGTGACAAGTACTAGAGAAAATGTCCCTTGGCAGAGATCCTTGTAGTAACTAATGTTACTCCTATGTTATAAGGGGGAGAAAACCAACTGCTCTTGTTTATTGTGTGTGTGTGTGTGTGTGTGTGTGTGTGTGTGTGTGTGTGTGTGTGTGTTTTAGACGAGGTTCACAAAGTCCAAGTTGGCCTTGAATTCACTATGCAGCTCAGACTGATCTCAAAATCACAGACATCTACTTGTTTCCACCTCCTAAATGCTGTGGTTACAAGTATGCACTATCCAACTGTTTATATACTATCCTATATCTTGACATTACTAATGTCTCCAGGACCATTATCTCAGCACTATGTTATAAAGTGCCCACACAGGGAACCTGAGCCTTGGTTGTGCCCTCATATCTGGTAGCTTGTCATTCTGTTTGCCACAGACAGACCTGTTTTTGGTTGCACTATATGGACTTCTGAGCTGTCACAGAGCCAATTAAGGACAATATGAAAAGTTAGAGATAACGGAGGGAGGACAGCAGTGGTGGCTCATGCAATTTGGATTGCTAACCTGGTCTATGAAGTGAGGCCCTGCCTCAAAGTTCCAGAAAGAGGAAGGAAGGAAGGATAGAGGGAGGGAAAGAAGGATAAAAGGAAGAAAGGACCATTTAGGCAGACATGGTAATGAATACCTGGCCCGGGGTGGGGGGGGTATCTGGAGTTCAAGGGCAGATTTGACTACACAATAAGTTGAGGCTATTATGTGCTATATAATATCCTGTTAGAAAAATCAATGAAAGAAGGAAGAGGATGAGGAGGACAAGAAGAAGAACTGGTGAAAGGGTGGGACACCTCAGAGAACTTCTATCTGATAGCAGCTTGACCAGTGTGCTCCAGTCCACATGGCAGGAAACCATATCTGACTACCCAAACACACACAAGCTAGAAAACCTCAATGTGGGAAATGTCTGTGTAGAGTGACTTTGTGAAAGTGAGGAAATTGAAACTGGCCTGTCTTTGCAACCTGTAGAGTCCAGATAGGATAGATACTGGGGGTGAAAGGATTCATTCGTGGAGAGAATCCAGCAAGGAAGGGCAGGCTTTCTGTAGCACAGAGAGGCTGCAGTTGCTGCCTGAAATGAGTACCAAATATAATTACTACTACTACTACTACTACTAATATAATTCTCAAAATAAAATTTAAAACTGGACATGGTGATTCTTGCCTGTGTTCCCAGTATGTTGGAGGTTGGGGTAGGAAGATTGTCATGAATTTCAGAACAGCCTGAACTACACAGTGAGTTTCAGATCAGCCTGGAATATGGTTTGATAACCTGTCATAAGGACAATTAAAAAAAAGAAAGAAAAGAAAGAAAGAGAGAGAGGGAGAGAGAAGCAAAAAAAGAGAGAGGAAAAAGAACCACCAACCCAACACACATAAAAACAAAAACAGAAATTATTTCCTTCTACATTCAGAAGTCACTAACATTTTAGCTCATATCAGCAAACTTTTTGCCATGCATATATTGCAATTGTATGTGTAACAAATGGATCTTTATAATGATAGTTTTAACATGTTTTTCTCTGTACATGGTGTGTGTGTGTGTGTGTGTGTGTGTGTGTGTGTGTGTAGGGCAGAGGTCAATGTCAAGCATCTTCCTCAATTGTCGTCTACCTTATCTTTTGAGGCAGGATCTCTCATTGATTCTGGAGCTTACTAATTTGGCCAGACCAGCTTGCCAGCCATCCTCAGTGATCCTCTTGTCTCCTCTTCCTCAGGTACACAATGCCAAGCTCAGTTTCCACATGGGGCTGGGGATCTGAACTCACTTTGCCAGGCTCAGCAGCATTTTACTGACTGAGTCATCTCCCCAGCCCAAAAATGACTGAGTAGCATTTTGCTGATTGTAATTATTATAATTTACATATAGTCAAATATCTATGTTGCTTCCAATTTTTATTTTGCATTTTATTTGGTGGATTAAAAATGATTAAAATTGACATTTTTGTGCTTACCTCTTTGAAAATTTACCTTTTATAAAATTTGCCTTTCATAAAAGTCTAGGCATTTGAATTTTGTCATGCACATCAACAAATTAATACAGCACCAGCTTTCCGTGACATGCATTCTAATCAAGGGCAGGAAAATGATGGGGGGGTCAACAGTCTCTTATTACCTTGGGTTCTCTGGAGTTTCCAGACATGGCATGGAAAAATGTAGTTCACAATTGTTTGACATCATGGGGCCCAATAGGCTCCATTCCCTTCCACTGATATTTCAAAGTTTCATTAAAATAAAACTAAAAAGCTGACTACAAACATGATTTCCCATAATACTGGCCACAGCCTGGAA